CAGCTAACCTCCCTCTGTCCCTCCCCCTAGCTCTTTCATTTTCACAGGGTCCAAGGATAATTTTCACTGATTACCTGGGCATCCATAGTGTGAGATTGTTTTATGAGAACACACCCACCTCAGGCTTCCTACCCTCAGAGAGGGTAGAACCTTTCACATTAAGCATGATTTTAAAAAATAATAGTGCACACTTCAACTGCAGCTGTTGCTGCCACTTGACACTTGGGGACACCCTGGGGGCTTAGCAAGGCAGAGCATTAAGACAGGGACAAAAGAACAACTCCAGTCCTAACTGGTTTGCCTCAGTGGATAGAGTGTCGGCCTGTGGACTGAGAGGTCCCAGATTTGATCCTGGTCAAGGGCATGTACCTTGGTTGCGGGAACATCCCCAGTAGGGAGTGTGCAGGAGGCAGCTGAATCAATGTTTCTAGTTCTCTATCTCTCTCCGTCTGCCTTCCTCTCTGTGAAAAGTCAATAAAATATATTTAAATAAATAAAACACAAACTAGGGGGAGGAATGGAAGATGGGATGGTAAGAACCTGGTTTGCCATCTTCTCTTTCAACTTTCCCTTCAAATTAAAAAAAAAAAAAAAAAAAAAAAGAACAACTCCTGGGTCCTATGATCCTGGCAGTATCTCCTCCGCCAGGGAAGGTGGCAGATGGTGGAGCAGGGGCTCCTTTTGGGCCAGGGTGACAAGCCCGAGAACAGCTCTACCCCAGCGGCTCGAGGCTTGACACCTGCTGTTGCTCCTGCTCCTTCGCTGCTAAGGCTTGTTAAGAGAACCTTGGTCCAGCCTGGCCTGCGTGGCCCAGTGCTTGAGTGTCGACCTCTGAACCAGGATTCCGGTCAAGACACATGTCAGGCCAAAACTGGTTTGGCTCAGTGGTCAAGCGTCGGTCTGCGGACTGAAAGGTCTCGGGTTCGATTCCGGTCAAGGGCATGTACCTGGGTTGCGGGTACATCCCCAGTAGGGGGTGTGCAGGAGGCAGCTGCTTGATGTTTCTCTCTCATTGACGTTTCTAGCTCTCTATTTCTCTCCCTTCCTCTCTGTAAAAAATCAATAAAATATATTTAAAAAAAAAAAAAAAAAAAAAGACACATGTCAGGGTTGTGGGCTTGATCCCCAGTAGGGAGTGAGCATGAGGTAGCCAATCAATGATTCTCTCTCATCATTAATGTTTATCTCTCTCTTCGTATCTCTCTCTTCGTATCTCTCTCTGACATATTTTATTAATACATCAATAAAAATGTATAAAAAAAAATAGAACATTGGTTTAAGCAAAGTGGGAAAATGTTTTTCTCTCATACTTTCAAAGAAATAGGCTTAATTTGAAAAAATAAATAAATAAAATGGAGGCCAGCTAATTTTATATAATATAGATCAAGTTTTTTGTTTTTTGTTTTTTTCTTCCAGGGGTACATTTATCTCTTGTTTCTTTGGGAGAATATTTGGCAAAAGATTTGAAGAGTTTCCTTTCCTTCCTATATTGGAGATCCTGAAGACTATCCCCGGTTTTGGTAACTCTTTAAAAGGACTCACAGGGCTGGGGGCTGGGTGGGTGGGGAGAGGGGTGAGAGGAGGCCATCTGTAATAAAAATAAATAAAAGAGCTCACAGGACTCATTACATACTTGTACTCATAGCTAAGATTTACTACAGTGCTACAAAACAAAATCAGCAAAGCAGAAAGGCAAACAGGTAAAATCTGAGGAAGTCGGTCTTACGCGTCCAAGAGTCCTTTCCCAGTGACGTCACATGGGGTATGCTTGATGCCTTTGGCAGGGAGCTCTGATGGCACACACAACGTGTTTACTAGGAAGCTCTCCGGAGACCCATTGCCACATTGGGGACCCAGAAAGACTTCATGTTTAGGAATTAGTAAGGACAACATTTTGAATTTCCAAGTTTTCAGAATGTGTTTACAATAATCCTTACCCCTTTTGTCCTGATCATTTATCTAGTAAGCAGCCTAGAAACAATCAATTTCTATTTGGGGGTCAGTTATATTTGATAATCAAACTGCCTAAGCAGAAAGATGAGTGAAATTACAATCAGGTAATCACTTCATTGTTGCAGACTTCAAATAACCTGGAAAGCCAAACACAAGTCACCAGCAGGGAGTGTTTGATGTGGAGATGAGAGGACCATGTGGGTGGAGAGGTCCCACTCCGTATGATGTCCTTCCTCCCAGCTTGTAGCTTACCACAAGTTAGATTTCTTGTGATCAATCATGTCAGATGCAATAGGCCCCGCATTAGAAATGTAGAGCCACCAACCAGCAGCTTTATTTTTTTTTATATTTTATTGATTTTTTTACAGAGAGGAAGGGAGAGGGAGAGAGAGTTAGAAACATCGATGAGAGAGAAACATCGACCAGCTGCCTCTTGCACACCCCCCACTGGGAATGTGCCCGCAACCAATGTACATGCCCTTGACCGGAATCGAACCTGGGACCTTTCAGTCCGCAGACCGATGCTCTACCACTGAGCCAAACCGGTTTCGGCCCAATCAGCAGCTTTAGATGGTCCCATCAGAGAACAAGTCTTTTCCCCATGGGCATCTGCCGGTGTCCCTTGTGGTAGCACCCAAGGTGGTTTTATAGTTTACTAGAGACCTGGTGCATGAAATTTGTGCAGGGGGGTTTAGGGAGTGTCCCTCAGCCCAGCCTGCACCCTCTCCAATCTGGAACCCCTCAAGGAATGTCTGACAGCCTGTTTAGCCCCAATCCCAGTCGGACATCCCTCTCACAATCTAGGACTACTGGCTCCCAACTGCTCTCCTGCCTGCCTTCCTGATTGCCCTTAACTGCTTCTGCCTGATCACCCCCTAACCTCTCCCATGCCAGCTTGATTGATGTCTAACTGCTCCCCTGCCAGCCCGTTTGCCCCCAGCTTCGTGTAACTGCCCTCCTTTGCAGGGTTGATTGCCCCCAACTGCCCTTCCTTGCAGGCCTGGTCCCTCCAACTGCCCTCCCCTGCTGGCCTTCTTGTGTCCACATGGGGGCAGCCATCTTGTGTGTTGGAGTGATGGTCAATCTGCATATTACTCTTTTATTAGATAGGATAGAGGCCTGGTGCATGGGTGGGGGCCAGCTGGTTTTCCCTGAAGGGTGTCCTAGATCAGGGTGGGGCTCCCTTGGGGTGTGGGGCAGCCTGGGCAAGGGGCCTGTGGTGGTTTGCAGGTCAGCCATGCCCCTGGTGACCCAAGTGGAGGCCCTGGTATCTGGGATTTACTTACCTTCTACAAATGAAACTTTGTAGCTTGGAACAGAGCCAAGCCTCCTACTCCTCCATAGTGCAGCCATTTCTGTTGGAATTTATGTATCTTCTACAATTGAAACTTTGTAACCTGGAGTGGAGGCTTGAGCCAGCCAGGGCTGCAGAAGCTTGGATTCCTCCATTGCCCAGGGCAACCCTAGCCTCCTGTTCTTCCAGCTCAGTGGCTGCCACCATTTTTGTTGGAATTTATTTACCTTCTGTAATTGAAACTTTGTTCCCTTGAGTGGAGGTCTGGGCTTCCTCCATTGCCAGGGAAACCCAAGCCTCCCCCCTGCTCTCTGTGGCTGCAGCCATCTTGTTTGGAGTTAATTTGCATACTTGCTCTGATTGGCTGATGGGCGTGGCTGGTGGGTGTAGTGGACAGAGAGCAGAAATAGAGAGCATGAGGATGGGTGGGAAGGGAGAAAGAGGGAGCCTGCTGGTGTGCTGGGATGTGCTATGTCTTCACCTGCATGGTGGCAGTTATACAGGGGGAAATTTATGTGAAATTTATCAGACTGTGCACGTAAGAGTTGTTCATTTTAGCCGAAACCAGTTTGGCTCAGTGGATAGAGTGTCGGCCTGTGGACTGAAAGGTCCCAGGTTTGATTCCGGTCAAGGGCATGTACCTTGGTTGCAAGAGGCAGCTGGTCGATGTTTCTCTCTCATCGACGTTTCTAACTCTCTATCCCTCTCAATTCCTCTCTGTGTAAAATCAATAAAAATAAAAAAATAAAAAAAGAGTTGTTCATTTTACATGTACATGTAAATTATTTACATTTGAAAAAGATTTTTAATTGATTTTTAGAGAGAGCAGAAGGGAGAAGGAGGGAGAGAGAGAGAGAGACTGAGACAGAGACATTGATGTGAAAGCAAAACATCTCAGGGATAGAGCCTGCAACTGGGCATGTGCTGTGTCCTGGGATGGAATGGGCAACATTTCAGTGCTGGGCTGACGCCTAACCAGCTGAGCACACACCAGCCAGGGCTATTTACATTTGTATTAATATATGTATAAATAATGTCAATTAATATCCTTTGCCCCAGGAGCTGCATTTTATATCAACATCCATTTTATTTATTAGGAGAGTATTTAGTTCTAGATATGACATGCCAATAGCTGGCCATCTTGCAGGCTGCAGTTAGTCTGTCCCTGTGAGTGACCCCATTTTGGAGCCAGCCTGGAGCTGACAGGCATATGATGAGGGTCATGCAGGATCATCGCTGACAGCTGGAGATGCCATCACAGCCATCGGCAGCAGAGTACTGGGAACATCAGGCAGTGGACTGTGCTTCCAACCCCGAGGCTGTGAGGCACTAGCCTGGCCATGGAAGGATTACAAAGCCTCTCAATTTAAAGAGACAGGGGGAGGGGAGGGGAGGGGAGGGGAGGGGAGGGAGGAGAGGGGAGGGGAAGGAAGGAGAGGGGAGGGGAGGGGAGGGGAGGGGAGGGGAGGGGAGGGAGGAGAGGGGAGGGGAAGGAAGGAGAGGGGAGGGGAGGGGAGGGGAGGGGAGGGGCATGTGGGCAGCACAATTTATAAATAGTCATTTCCCTGGGCTGCCTGATGGTGAAGGGGTTGTTTAGTAAATCTTTCTCCTTTTAAGGATCCATTTTCGGAGACCATTTGAAAACACCAGTTTCATTCTTATCTTTTGGGGTTTCATCAAGCCAGCCGAGTTTGACAATCTTTCTGTCTGCCTGGCTTAGAGACAGGCCTTGGGTATTTTGAATCACCTCTCCATGGAGCACAGAGGTGATGATGATGATGATGATGTGTCTTTTGCCAAGTGGATGAGCAGCTTCTGGGGCCACAGCTGGATAGAGGAGGATGAGAGAGGACTCCGGGACCGCCGAGGATCACACCACACCAGTTACAGGAAAGCTTCCCTGCCCTGCCCAGTGAGTTATCCCATGGAACAGGGGAGGGCTGGATGAGGGAGGGGGTTTTCTCATGGACAATTTTGGAAGAGTCCTTCAGTATAAAGTTTTCTTTGGTTGAAAATCAGTGCTCCCAAATTTTTTTATGTCCACAAAAATACCTTTTATCATTTTGTCTTATCCTCCAAGGGACTTGATTTTCTTCTACAGATAGTGATTTCATTATTATTATTATTATTATTATTGTTTTTATTTGTTTTTTCTTTTTCATTTTTAATTTCATTTTAATTTATTTATTTTTCTGTCTCCTTCTTCTTCTTCTTCTTCTTCTTCTTCTTCTTCTTCTTCTTCTTCTTCTTCTTCTTCTCCTCCTCCTCCTCCTCCTCCTCCTCCTCCTCCTCCTCCTCCTCCTCCTTTCTCTTCTCCTTCTTCTCCTCCTTCTTCTTCTTCTTCTTCTTTTTCTTCTTCTTCTTCTTCTTCTTCTTCTTCTTCTTCTTCTTCTTCTTCTTCTTCTTCTTCTTCTTCTTCTTTTTCTTCTTCTTCTTCTTCTTCTTCTCCTCCTCCTCCTCCTCCTCCTCCTCCTCCTCCTCCTCCTCCTCCTTCTCCTCCTCCTCCTCCTCCTCCTCCTCCTCCTCCTCCTCCTCCTCCTCCTCCTCCTCCTTTCTCTTCTTCTTCTTCTTCTTCTTCTTCTTCTTCTTCTTCTTCTTCTTCTTCTTCTTCTTCTTTTTACAGAAAAAAACCTTTAATATTCACCTTCCACTTTTGAAAGATGATTAAATCTTTGAGTTATACATGTTTGGAGTAATCTTTTCCTATTCATCACCTTTTAAGGAAAGTGTTATGGGCAGAGGTTGGCCTTCTTTTCAGTTCATTTTCTTTTTCTTTACATTTATTTATTTTTTAAATTACTTTATTGATTAAGGTATCACATATTTGTCCTTATTCCCCCATTCCTATCCCAAATCCCTCCCACACATACCCTCACTCCCCTGTTGTCTGTGACCACTGGTTAGGCTCATATGCATGCACACAAGTCCTTTGGTGATCTCTCTCCCTTATCCCTCCCCTCCTCTACCTTCCCTCTGAGGTCCGACAGTCTGATCGATGCTGTTCTTGTTCATCAGTCTATGTTGTTCATCATTTCCCCTTTTCTGTTTTCTCCTTGATTTTTTAAAAAATGTAATGATTTCTTCATTTTTAGTACTAAGGTATCTTTAACTTCTATGCAGAGATCCTGATAAGCCTGAGATAATCCTACTGAGTGGCAATATAATTCAGGTCAAAGGGAAGAAACTTGATGCTATAGTTACTAGTAGTCTGTGTAGCATCGGTGTGGACCAATGTGTGACTCTTTTTAAACAGTGAAAATAACTTCACTATTTGGTGAATTCTAAGGAACTGGGGATTCCATATAATAAATTACTCCTTTTGCCTGGCAAGTATGACTCAGTTAGCTGGAGTGTTGCTCCATATTCCAAAGTTCAATTCCTGATCAGGGCACATACCCAGGTTTTGGGTTCAGTTCCTGGTCAGGGTGCCTACAGAAGGCAGTCGCTGATGAATGTCTCTCTCTCTCATTGATGTTCCTCTCTCTCTCTCACTCTCTCTCTCTCTCTCTCTCTCTCTCTCTTTTGTCCCACCCCCTTTTCCTTTCTCTCTGAAATTAATAAAGGTATATTTATAAATGCTGGGGTTCTTGTCCCAGCCTTACAAAGGGTTCAGCATTCTGAAGAAAGGGGCTGATGCATAGATTCAAGAAGGAGTCCAAGGATGAAAGATAATTTTGAAAGGCATTGAGGGGTCAGAGGATCTTCAGCTAAAAGAACTGAAGATTCACTTTTGTCTAAGGAGCCCATGCTATTTATTTAACACAATTTGTCCTAAGGCAAGGTGGAGATATACACTTCAAAGGGTAGGGTTACAGAAACATTGTCAGTTTGGGGAATAGCCTACAGCTGTTCAGGAGTTTGGCCAACAGGAGGCAACAAAATGCCCTGAACTGTCTGACAGCAGACAATCCTATTCCGGTTTCAGGGAGATATTTTTTAGCTGTCCCAGCAGGTAATTACTTTTGTGGCTCACCCTTGTTGAACCGCCAAGCTTCATCAACCTTTTGGTGAAACTCTTGTAATTATTACACACTGAAATTGGTTCCCATAAATAAATAAATAAATAAATAAATAAATAAATAAATAAATCGCCCCCCTTTGATAAATTTAAAAAATATATATTTTATTGATTTTTTACAGAGAGGAAGGGAGAGAGAGAGCAAGAAACGTCAATGAGAGAGAAACATCAACTAGTTGCCTCTTGCACACCCTCTCCCGGGGATGTGTCCGCACCCAACGTACATGCCCCTGACCAGAATCAAACCCAGGTCCCTTCAGTCCACAGACCGGCGCTCTACCGCTGGGCCAAACCGGTTTCAACCCCTTTGATAAATTTGATACACATTTTTTCTTCTGGTTCTCATTTGGTTTCCTGATGGGAGAGGGAACCAAAATTCTCCCATTCTTAGCACTATTTTCCTATGGCTGGGCCCAGCACCCGTGTCTAGGGAGGAAGATGTGAGCTGGAAAGCCCTAAGGGGAATGGATGGGCCTGAGGAGGTGAGGTGCGAGGTGCGGTGCGGACTGGGCAGCAGGTCCCAGTAGGGTTCCTCTGCTCACCTGGGAGAGGGGGGTAGAAGCTCCACAGTAGACAGTCTGTCTCTGCTTCCCAGCCCCTCAGTGATGCTACAGCTTTTCTTTTGTACAAGTCACTCAGAATTCTAGGTTCCAGAGAATCCCTCCCCATCCCCCTGTTTCTGTCAACCCCAGAACCAAGTAATTTGGGGGGTAATGTTATTTTATTTTATTTTTAGCTCCCGAGTTCTCAGACTCAGCCTCTTTTATTCCCAGTGGTCAGCAAGGTGGAGGAATGAGACCTCTTGGAGACACAAATGTTTAAAAATGGGTCTCTTGCCAAATGTGGGCTCAAGGACAAAGGGCAAGTTTCAATGCCTCTGTGAGCTCCAGGTTTCTTAAGTGAAAAAGAAGGGACTGGGCTGGGTAATCTCTGAGAACACTGCTTGCTCTGACTTTCCACCGCTCTGTTGTAACACTCTTATTTTAATCTCCTATGTTCCACATCAAGCGAGGCATTCATAATGTGTGAGCCAGGATACGATTAGTTTCCAGTTTCCAGATAATGGGAACAGGAGGAAACAAAGAGGAAAAAATGTGATTTACTATTTGTCACAACAGCCCGTTAGAGCCACAGAAAATATGAAAACAAAGGAAGATTCAAGGCGTAAAATGGGATTTCTTAAATAAATTTTACTATTTATTAGACTTTAAAAACTGAGATAAATCCTTTATTTAGAGAATTGACTTTTAGGTTGCAATGTATATATATATATATTTTTTTGTTTTGTTTTTAAAAAAATATATTTTATTGATTTTTAATAGAGAGAAAGGAAGAGGAATAGAGAGTTAGAAACATTGATGAGAGAGAAACATCAATCAGCTGCCTCTTGCACACCCCCTACTGGGGATGTGCCCGCAACCAAGGTACATGCCCTTGACTGGAAACAAACCTGGGACCATTGAGTCCGCAGGCTGACGCTCTATCCACTGAGCCAAACTGGCCAGGGCTATTTTGTTTGTTTTTAAACTATATTTTTATTGATTTCAGTGAGGAAGGGAGAGATAGAAAGAGCAATAATGAGAATCATTTATTGGGCTGCCTCCTGTATGCCCCCTACTGGGGATCGAGCCCACAACCTGGGCATGTGCCCTGGCTGGGAATTGAACCATGATCTCCTGGTTTATATAATAGGTCATTGCTCAATTACTAAGCCACAGCAGCCGGGCTAGGCTGCAATGCTTTTCAGTGAGTTTTAGGTACTGAGTTCACTGGTCTAATGGACTTCCTCAGTGTTTCTTCTGTGTTCCAAGGAGGCTGCATCTGTGCCACCCACATTACAGTATATTGTTGTGGGGTCGAACCCTGGGTTCAAAATAAGACCACCGAAGGCTGATGATTTATTAAAAAAAAAAAAAAAAAAAAAAGCAGGCAAGAACTTATTGAAATATCTGGCCAGGGCAGCCGCAAGAGTACCACACGCAGGCGGACCCTACACGCCTGTGAGGCTTTAGGGGCAGGTAGTTATTTTTAAAGGTTCTGAGAAGGAAAACACCTATTTTGCAACAAACTGTTGTTTGGAGTTTTCTGCTGTTCTTCCTAGATAAAATGTTGCTTTCTAGTTTGCTTTCGCCAGTTTGAAGAATGATGAAGATAAACTTACCTGTCTGACCTCGTAGGCCAGAGACCGGATATGTCCACAATCTCAATACCAGGCCAGGTGCACCTTCTCAAGTGGATAGAACAGCATTGTTTTTCAAGGCCAGCATCAAGATAACCACTGAGTGCACATAGGGCTGGCTCTTTAATAAAAAATAAAAAAAATAAAAAAAAAAAGGAGCCGAAACCGGTTTGGCTCAATGGATAGAGCGACGGCTTGGGGACCAAAGGGTCCCGGGTTCGATTCCAGTCAAGGGCATGTACCTTGATTGTGGGCACATCCCCAGTAGGGGGTGTGCAAGAGGCGGCTGATCGATGATTCTCTCTCATCGATGTTTCTGACTCTCTATCTCTCTCCCTTCCTCTTTGTACAAAATCAATAAAATATATTTTTTTTAAAAAAAGGAAGTTCTGCCTGTAACCTTGCTTAGAATTTGAATTCATCCTATTTCAATATCATTTGAGGGGACAGGGGATTCAAAGTAAACCTCTACCTACCTGTAGCCAAGGTTTTTTAAATTAGCTTTAAAAGAAAACCTCCTTCTGCCCCCATGTTACCATTTAACCTTTACTTTTAAGTGTTGCACAGTAAGTAACATTTTTAAATATGGGAGTTTCTCCCTGTAACCAATTAGAGCACACTTTATGTTCTCAATGTAAAATAAGTTCTCTTTATATTCTCAATGTAAAACAGTAGAAGATATTTTTAACCTTTACTTTTATTTCTGACTGACCTT